TGGGGACCTCCTAGGGCTTCCTCCTGGGCCTCCTGTAGCCTCGTGAACTCCACCTGGGGTTTCCTGAAGCATCTTGGGGCTCCCAGGGGGGATATCTAACCTGTGGCCGTTTGGGCCTCTCCAATTGGAGGGGGGGCACAAGAGCAGGAAAAATCAACGAATCGACACCGGATGTGTATTAACTTGACACGTTCTGATAGGCGGCCTCCTGGGGCCTCCTGGGAGCCTCCTGGGAATCTCCTGGAGAACCCTGGGGCCTGTCCTGGGCGTCCTGCGGCCTCCTGGTGCCTCCTGGGGCCTCCTGGGGACCTCCTGGAGCTTCCTCCTGGGCCTCCTGTGGCCTCCTGAACTCCACCTGAGGTTTCCTGAAGCCTCTTGGGGCTCCCAGGGGGGATATCTACCTGTGGCCGCTTGGGCCCCTCAAAATGGAGGGGGGGCACAAGAGCAGGAAAAATCAACGAATCGACACCGGATGTGTATTAACTTGACACGTTCTGATAGAGGGCCTCCTGGGGCCTCCTGGGAATCTCCTGGGGGCCCCTGGGGCCTGTCCTGGGCGTCCTGCGGCCTCCTGGACCTCTCTGGGGCCTCCTGAGGCTCGGAGGGCCCCATAGAGGATATGTAACATGTGGTCTTCTGGGCGCCCAGGCTGGACCACCTCTCGCGCAGCATCTGAGAGCTCAGAGTTGCGAGAATGTCTTGTGCGAAACAGGCCGGACCACCTTGCGCACGGCATCTCAGAGCTCAGAGTTGCAAGGATGTCTCAGGCGAGACGGGCCGGACCACCTCGCACAGGGCATCTCAGAGCTCAGAAGTTCGAGGATGTCTCAGGCGAACCGGGCCAGACCACCTCTCGCGCGGCATCTCCGAAAACAGAGTTTCGAGGACGTCTCAAGCGAAACGGCCCGGACCACCTCGCGCAAGGCATCGCAGAGCTCAGAGTTTCGAGGATGTCTCAGGCGAAACGGCCCGGACCACCTCTCGCACGGCACCTCGGGGCTCAGAGTTTCGAGGATGTCTCAAGCGAAACGGCCCGGACCACCTCTCGCGTGGCGTCCCGGAGCGCAACTTTTCGAGGATGTCTCAGGCGAAACGGCCAATCCCGGCCAACTCAGAAACGAGAATTGTGAGGATGTCTGAAGGGAAACGGCCAAAACCATAAAATTTGTGTGAGGATATCTCTGCTCCGCGTTCCCTCGGCCGGAGTTAGTTTCTATCACAACAGCACCCTGTTCAGCAAGCTGTTTGGGGAAAAATCGTGACGTCGGATGTCTGGGGAGGGCGGAAGGCAGTGCGCGCATGACGGATGCTGAGGCGGCAGAAACGACGACGGCGGGGGCGGGGAGGCGGAGGCAGAGGCGCAGCAGCGGGAGGCGGGAGGCGGGAGGAGGGAGGAGGGAAGAGGAACCAGGCGGGAAGTGGGAAGAGGGAGGCGGGAGAAGGAATGAGAGAGGTTGTGATTGGAGCTCCTGTGCTACGAAACGTCTCAGGCAGAATGGGCCAGACCATCTCGCGCGCAACATCTTCGAGCCTCGCATTGCGAGGATGGCTCAATCGAAACGGGCCGGACCACCTCGCGAGCGACATCTTGGAGCTCAGTATTGGAAGGATGTCTCAAACGAAACGGGCCGGACAATCTTTCGCACACGTTTTGACAAGTCCACATCGCACTCGCTTCCCGTTAGGTCCTCTCCTGCAACTCCCTTCCTTCTCCCTCCTCCTCCTCCTCCTCCCCCTCCTCCTGCCTGCTCCCTCATGCACATCATCCGCCTCCTCCTTCTCCCTTCCATCTCCTTCTCCTTCTCCTTCTCCTCCTCCTCCTCCTCCTCCTCCTCCTCCTCCTCGACCTCCTTCCTCTTCATCCCGAACGGCATCTCGGAGCCTAGATTTGCGAGGATGTCTCCAGCGTAACGGGCTGGACCACCTCGCGCGCGGCATCTCGGACCCCAGAGTTGCGACGATTTCTCGGGCAAACGTGCTGCGAGGAAGTCTCAGGCGAAACGGGCCGGACCACCTCGAGCGCGGCGTCTCAGAGCTCCGAGTTGCGGGGGCCTCCTGGTGCCTCCTGGGGCTTCCTGGGGACCTCCTGGGGCTTCCTCCTGGGCCTCCTGTGGCCTCCTGAACTCCACCTGGGGTTTCCTGAAGCCTCTTGGGGCTCCCAGGGTGGATATCTAACCTGTGGCCGTTTGGGCCTCTCCAATGGAGGGGGGGGCACAAGAGCAGGAATAATCAACGAATCGACACCGGATGTGGATTAACTTGACACGTTCTGATAGGCGGCCTCCTGGGGCCTCCTGGGAGCCTCCTAGGAATCTCCTGGGGACCCCTGGCGCCTGTCCTGGGCGTCCTGCGGCCTCCTGGAGCTCTCTGGGGCCTCCCCCTCCTCCTGCCTGCTCCCTCATGCACATCATCCGCCTCCTCCTTCTCCCTTCCTTCTCCTCCTCCTCCTCCTCCTCCTCCTCCTCCTCATCCTTCCCCTCCTCCTCCTTCTCCCTTCCTT